CGCCTTGCCCGTCGCCCGTCGCAGCGCCCCAGGGACCGCGCGCCGCCCCCGCTTCTGTTCGCACGCCGCCCCAGCTGCTGCCCGCTTTTCTGCCCCGCGCCGCGCGCCCGCCGCCTACGTTGGGGGTGTGGGGGTGGCGGATGTGTGAGCCGTCCCCTGCTCCTCCTCCTCCTCCGTCTCCCACTGTTGCAGCTTCCGCTGAGGAGGGTGGGTGTGTGGGAGCCGAGGTAGTGGCGCTAGGAGGGTGTCGTGGGAGTGGAGCTAGGGGTGCAGCAAGGGGTGTGTGAAAGGGGTGTGGGACAGTTGGGGGAGGTTGAACGGAGGTAGCCGTCGTGACGTCAGCAACGCCAGTAGTCCGGGGGTCACCCTTACTCCAGTAGCCCAGCGAGCCTGCTACGCCAGTCGCCCGTGGGTCCGTTCCTCCAGCTGCTCGTCTAAGCCGTGGAGCCAGTGACTCCAGTTGTCCGGATACCCTTGCTTGTGTCCGGTAGCCCGTACGCGCCGCTCCTATTGCCCGTGTGTCTGCGGCTTCACCCGTCGCCTCCTATCTCCACTCCTCTCACAGTCCCTCCTCCTCCTCACTTGCCCTCTGTGACTGCCTCTAGCTTTGCTTGTGCTTATGAACTTCTTATGCGACTGCTTGCTGGGCTGATCATACCCAACTTTGACTATGGGGGTGTGTCATAATGCTATAAATGTCTAGTCTGCAGTGGGGTACTCTATAGTGAGTACAACCCAATTTAGGGTTAGCTATATGTATCTTATCTGCTGCTAGTGCAATCCTCTTTTCTGTTGTTCATTCCTGCTTGCTATCTTAACGTCAGTGTCTGATACGTGTACTGCTGCTTGTCGTATTGTGTCCGGTGCGTTGGATATGCCAGGGAACGGTCGAAGAAGCCAAGGATTTTAGCACCCTCCATCATCAGTTCAAAATCAAAGGGCCGGATATAGAAGTCCTTCCTGTCAAATGGTGTTGACGTTTGCAGATTTAGCACGTGTGCGAATTGTGACTGTAGCTGAAGTGCATCTAGTGTCTTCGTCTCTTGTCCAGGTGGAATTCGATTCGGCATGAAGCTGGCGGAACCACGTTGGACCTCATACGGTGCGAAGGTAGGACGCTGATTTCCGCGCGCAAAAGAGGAGCCATCAAGGCTCATGGGAGTAACTCCGTTGTTGTTGTCGCTGTTGTTTGACTGCGCAGATGCCGCTTGCTGTTGCTGTTCGTAGAATGACATCAAGGAGAAGAATTCCTCCATCATGCTTGGGTCGAAGCCGATTGCTTGATTCACATGTGCTTCAGTGAATTCAGCAGCTGCTCTCTGAGTTGAGCCTCCTTCGGTCTGTAGTCCAGAGGCTGGAGGTGGAGTAGGAGTAGTGCCAGGAGATCCTGTAGACGAGCTCCTTTCCTTTTGTTTTGCCATGTCTTCTGTTGTAGGAAGTGTGTTGAGAATAGTGGCATAAGTAGAAGTTAGGTTTAGGGCCTAGGCTTGGTAGCCTAGGCCAAGGGGGAGTCGAGAATGTCAAAATTATATTTATTATAACTGCATGTAGTTCTAGCAGTAGTGTAGTTATTAAATTTGTAGGTGGTGCACCTCTTCATGTGTTCCTTTGCTATATGTACTTCGAACCCTATAGTGAACACACATTCTCCAATTTCCTCTCTCAACTCACTCGACACCTTCCCTAAGGGAAAACCCGCTCGACCCTAAAGCTCGAGCCTAGGCTACTAAGCCTAGGCCCCACCTTTCTACTCTTAAATTACTTAGACTCTCGACATGTTATCGGAGCTGAGTTCGTCCTGGCCTGTGGGCCCGCTTTACACTTCCGCTGCTAAGATTTTCCGGTCGCGCGCCTAGGGCGCGTGACGATTTTATTTTTACCTTGTCCCGCCCACGGGCGTGTGACTCCTTCCCTGCCCGTCGCGCGCCCCACGGCACGTGACGGTGCCCTTCAACTGCCCATCGTGCGCCCCGTGGCACACGATGGTGCCCTGCTCGTCGTGTGCCCCGAGGCACACGATCGGGCCCTTTTATTCTACCCGTCGTGCGCCCCGTGGCACTGGCCCGCGACGGGCCTTCTTTCCGCCCCTGCACTCCCTGAAGCCGCCCCTGACCCATCTGCACCGACACCTCTTCGCCGCTCTGCGGCTTTCTTCCTGCCCACCCCCCTCCTCCTTTGCCTCCCTGCAGCCGTGGGGAGGAGGGTATGGGGGTGGAGGGTGTTGGAGTGTGGCGTCACCTCTCTCCCTTCCCCTCCTCCTTCTTTCAGTCCCACCGCTGCAGCTGCCGCTGGGGGAGGAGGGTGTGAGGATGTGGGGGAGCAGGGGGAGTGGTACCGGGGTGGCGGGTGTGAGGCAACAAGCAGCCGTCCCTCCACCTCTCCTCTCTTCCCCCCTTTCTCTGCTGCTTCTGCAGCAGTGTGGGGGAGGGGAAGGGGGAGGGTGAGGAGATGGAGGGGGTAACCATTCAAAGTTAGCCCGCCTGCAGTACCTGCTGTTGCTTGTTTTATTGTTCGTTGGTGTACCTCTGCAGGTTGTGCTCTGCACTTAGCTATTCCTGCATGCAGTTACGGGGGGGTGTCAAAATTATATTTATTATAACTGCATGTAGTTCTAGCAGTAGTGTAGTTATTAAATTTGTAGGTGGTGCACCTCTTCATGTGTTCCTTTGCTATATGTACTTCGAACCCTATAGTGAACACACATTCTCCAATTTCCTCTCTCAACTCACTCGACACCTTCCCTAAGGGAAAACCCGCTCGACCCTAAAGCTCGGGCCTAGGCTACTAAGCCTAGGCCCCACCTTTCTACTCTTAAATTACTTAGACTCTCGACAGAGAAAGTTGTGCCAAGAGAGAAAGTCGAGAATGGGAATGGTGTTCACTCTAGCACTAGGGTACATATAGCAAACAGAGCATGCAAAGAAGGTGCACTACCAACAGTTTATAATAACTACACTAAACTACAGCTACAGGCAGTTACAGATATATTCTAACACTCCCCCATAACTGCCTGCAGCAGGAGTTTGTGCAGAACACAACCTGCAGGGGTACACCAACAACAGCAACAGCAGGCATAGTAACAGAGCAGGTACAGCAGCAAAGGGACAGGCGACAGCAAGATATTCCTGCCACCCCCTTACTCTCTTCCCCCTCCGACCACAGGAGGGACAGCAGGGAGAGAGAGGAGGCGGGCTGGCTCTGGCTGGTCACCCCCTCCATCCCCTCACCCTCCCCCTCCCCCTCCCCCCCACACTGCTGCAGGAGCAGCAGAGGGGGGAAGAGAGGAGAGGTGGAGGGACGGCTGCTGGTTGGTCTCACACCCGCCACCCCAGTGCCACTCCCCCGGCTCCCCCACACCCTCCCCCCCAGCGGCAGCTGCAGCAGTGGGAATGAAAGGAGGAGGAGGGGAAGGGAAGCACACCACCCATCACCCCCACACCCGCCACCCCCATACCCTCCCCCCCACAGCTGCAGGGAGACGAAGGAGGAGGGGGTGGGCGGGGAGAAAGTCGCAGAGCGGCTACAGAGGGTCGGCGCGGGTAGGTCAAGGGCAGCTGCAGCGAGTGCAGGCGCGGGGTGAGGCAGAGGCAGCTGCACCGAGTGCAGGAGCGGGGGCGGCTGCTCCAAGGGCAGGCGCTGGGTGGTGCAGGGGCGGCTGCACCGAGTGCAGGCACGGGTGAGGCAGGGGCACCGCCGCGGGCGCCAGGGGCGGGTCCGCGGCGGCTCAGGACACCGTCGCGGGCGCCAGGGGCGGTTCCGCGGCGGCTCAGGGCACCGTCGCGGGCGCCAGAGGCGGGTCCGCGACGGCTCAGGTCACCGTCGCGGGCGCTAGGGGCGGGTCCGCGGCGGCTCAGGGCACCGTCGCGGGCGCCAGGGGCGGTTCCGCGGCGGCTCAGGGCACCGTTGCGGGCGCCAGAGGCGGATCCGCAGCGGCTCAGGGCACCGATGCGGGCGCCAGTGGCGGATCCGCGGCGGCTCAGGGCACCGTCGCGCACCACGGGGCACGCGACGGGCAGTTCAGGGCACCGTCGCGTGCCACGGGGCGCACGACGGGCAGGTAAAACGTCGCGCGCCACCCGGGCACGGGACAGAAGGAAATTCGCCACACGCCCGCGGCGCGCGACCGGAAAAACAGCAGCGGAAGCTTGAGGCAGGCCCACAGGCCAGTACGTAACAAGCTCTAATGCCATCTTGAGAATAGTGGCATAAGTAGAAGTTAGGTTTAGGGCCTAGGCTTGGTAGCCTAGGCCAAGGGGGAGTCGAGAAAGTTGTGCCAAGAGAGAAAGTCGAGAATGGGAATGGTGTTCACTACAGCACTAGGGTACATATAGCAAACAGAGCATGCAAAGAAGGTACACCACCAACAGTTTATAATAACTACACTAAACTACAGCTATAGGCAGTTACATATATATTTTAACAAAGTGGAGATGATGAGTCTTGTCTTTGCCCGCTCTCATACCGGTACCATGTTGGGCTGAGAAAAGCATTGAGGATCGTTTTTCAATGACTAAGACTTCAGAGTGATGTACCGGTATTAGCGGAAGCGTTGTAACGAGGATGATTGAACCTCCTTGCACTGGTATGTGAGAACAAGATACGTTGATTCAAGCAAAGAGATACAAGCTTTTATATGATTACAAGGAATACGAAAGGTTTGACTAGCTGCAACTGTAACTACTGTTGCGGTTTGATAAGGTAACTGCTCAATAGCAAGTCAGTTATTTGTCCTTGCTGTCGTGCTGTTTTCGTCGAGTCAAAGGTCGCTGACCTCTTGTTGTTGCCCCTTTTGTCGACCGCTTCACTGTAGTTCGGTTGACTCGCTGTTGCTTCGCTGTGAGTTCGCCGCGTTCTTGTTACAATGCTTGACACATCAGAAGCGCTAACTTATGTGTTTCCAACAAGAAATACATGTAGGACTTGGGTTGGCGAACTCAAGTCTGTTCTACGCGTACAGTAAAGGAGAAGAAATGAACTCTTAAGACCGATTCCACAGGAGCTCAATGCACCTTTGGCATCTTGGGCCCCCCAGTTACAGTCCAATCTTGGCGAAGAGTGAACACACCCATGCCCTTTGCGAACAGTCTGAACATGGTGATGCCTGTCACCACCCCAGCACCACCTACATGGGCTCTGTTGCTACGGCTGCGAGTCGATGCATGCACGGGCTCTTCCTCCACTGCTTGCAATGGCTGCAAGAAAGGAGATTGAAATAGGGTACAGCAAAATAGGAGAGCAGTGCAGCAGTACATTAAAAATGAATGTTTCTTTTTCTTTTCCCTTTTCTTTTTCCCTAGTAGTGAGCAGTGCTGGCAAACAAGATTTTTGAACCAGTGGAAGGTGAGTGAGGCAAAGAACGTACCAGACCAAGGGGAGGCGGGCTTATGCAGCCTTCATCTGCCTGTGGGGAGAGCGGGCTGGAGGGAGAGAGCAGCGGGAGCTTGTCCGGGCGCAACCAGGGCTTTAACTGCCTCAGCTTGGGTCCATGCAGACGCCTCATGAGGCCACCTCCTGCCGCAGCAGCACTTGACTTGCCAGCAGCAGCAGCGTCCACAGGACTGCCAACAGCAGCAGCAGCAGCAGCAGCAGCAGCAGGAGAGAAGTCAGCTGGAATAGCGGCAGCAGCAGCGACGACGGCTGCTCCAGATTCCTTCTCTTCCACTCCCTGCTGGAGCGCATGTGAATGGTGTGCACAGGTCAACAGCACCCCCTCCTCCTCTCCCTGCCTGAACTCTACAATGTGCCCAACCTGTTCCCCCTTCTCAACGTGATGACCAGTGTAACAGTTGTCTCTGGAGCCATACAGGCTTCCATTATCAAAGCCAGCATCAATGCCATCATCACCATCACCATCTACAAGCAAGCCACACGTGAGAACAACAGCGGCGATAACCCGCTGCCCGCCTCCCACCTCCCCATGCTGCCACTCGCCGAAGCTCCCACCCAGCAACCCTCCTCCACCCCCAACCACCACCGTCTCCTCCCCATCCCTCGCTCCCTCGTCCCAACTCTCTTCCGTATCTCCCGTTTCTTCGCTCATTTCCTCGTCGCCCGTTCCCTCACATTCTGCAGAACCGTTCTCAACCACGAGATCTGTACTTGAAGCATCATCCCTCTGCATTGAAGCACTACCTTCTTCTTCCTCTTCCATATGATGCCGCCTCTGCTGCCCCACCCACTCCTCCTCTCCTTTCACTTCCTTCCCTCCCTCCCCCACTTCCCCTCCCTCCCCTCCACCACCCTCACTATCCTCCCCCACCACCCGCACCATCATTTCCCCCACTGCCGTTGCCAATGCTGCTCCTCTTCCCACCATCATATTCTGACACGTCTCACTAGGTTCTCCCGCTGCTGTTGCCAATGCCGCTACTCCTCCTACCGTCACCGGGTTACCCCCACTCGTCGCCTCACTCTTGTCTGCTCCCCATTCGTCACCCTCGCCCTGTGCATGTGCATATGCATGCGGTGTAGACTCATGCGCAACAGGCGTTTGTGGGGAAATTTCATGCAAGGAAGGCTCATGTGGGGAAGGCTCATGTGTAGCAGGCTCACGAGCGGTAGGCGTCAGCAATCCTCGGTTACAACCTCCCTCCTCTCCTTCCTCCTTCTCACCCTCCTCCTTGCCACCTGCCCCTCCCTTGGCCTTTCCAGTAGCTTCACTCGTGTCGTCTCTCCTGCCGATCCCTGCCCTGCTCCATTCTGCCACACCCAGAGTAAGTGCTTTTGTTTCCTCTCCCCCCAGTGCTGATCCTGGCACCCCTCGCTCTGCGTTGGTTCGTTTGGAGGAGGGATCATCTCTGCGCGAAGCACCACACTCGTAGCAAGGCAGCGCAGCATGCCCCACCGCACGCTGCGGGCCCGCCTGCACGTACTGCCATTGCAGAAACGCCGGTCGCGTGCCAGGCTGAAATATGTTATCATGCCCATGCCCACTCCGCCCTTGCCCGTGCACTGGCCCATGTGTGGCGTCACCAAACCTCCACGTGGACCCTGCTGGTTGGGCACAAGAACAGAGAGGGAATAGCGGTTTAACGCGTAGTGTGGGGGCACTACGTTTCAAATCAGATCCATGGCATGGTCGCACAAGGGAATGGGGTCCAAATGGTGTAATCCCCCAAATGGTGTAATCCCTCAAATAGTGTAATCTTTCAACGGGATTCTGGAACCTGCGGTTCGATTGGTGTGTTTATTGGGTCGCCCAACATCAATCCCCCAACACCAATCCCCCAACACCAATTCCCCAAACCCTTCCCGCAATCCCCATCACTCGTTCCCCACTTCACTAACCGCCGCGCCCCAACTTCTTGCACCCTCCCCATTTTTCCCGACTTCCGCCCCCCCGTCCCCGACTTTCCGCGCTTTCCCCCACCTGGCGCATACACAAGCCGCACAGGCTGCGTGTCCCGCAGCGTGCGCAGCTCAATCCGCGATAACCGCGCTTCAACATCCGCCACGCGCGTCACAATAGCCGCGCGCCGCCTCCCCACGTCCGCCACTTCCGCCGACAGGCTTTCGAATACCGCCGCGGCGTGGCTGAGGGGGAACGGGTGACCGAGGAGGCGGGAAATCGAGGCAGCAGAAGCGGAAAGATTGAGAAGGATGCGCCGAGAAAGGCACAACACGGCGTTGCTTGGCAATAAAATCCTCGGCGACGAAAATGATCGCTCGTAAGGCAGCAGCACCTTGAGGCTACCCGCCAAGATTTCATCAAAACTCGATACCAAGGCCTTTATTTTCGGGGTTTTAACTCACGCGAGCTGGTTCCTTCAACTCTGGTCATTTTAATCATTTAGTTTTCTATGTAATTTCTTCTTCTTTCCATGTCTGTCGAACCCAACTTCCCTTGCACCAGCTTTGCGCGAAAACGGACTCACTCGGATAGCTGCGCGAGCTGTCGCACGATTCCCGCGAGCGAAGCCATTGCGACGCCGTCGAACACGCTTCGCGCATCAGCACCGTCAGCTCCCTCGCGGCCATTGGAACTGACGGCGCTGCTGCTGCTTCTGCTGCTGCTGCGGCTGGCGATACCTGCGGCGGGCAACGCTGTCAAGTAGAGACAAGCTGAACCCAGCGACTCCTCCGCCGCCACTTGGAAGGTCACCGTCGGCATAGAAGCCGCTCCGCTGCTGCTGCTGTGCGTTATGGGCGATCCTAGGCGATAAGGCTCTTTGAGAAGGTGGCGTTATTGGCGAGCGATCTCAGTGGGAGACGTGAGAGACGCTACTAATAGTAGTAGTAACATGCAGGCTATGCGAGGCGATTTCTGCTTTTAAAAGCGGCTCGGAATTCCGCGTCGAGTTTATCGTCGTCGTTGATTGCCCCGCAGAAGCAAGGGAAGGCGCGATTGTCGCGACAATCTGCTTCGATTGACTAGTGAATATGTTTCAAGTGGAGGCAGGTTGCGGTGGTGAGTTGTTCTGTGAATACGTAGAAACGATCATTTAACGATTAAGGTAACTCATACTGGAGCAGTTTTCTGAGATTCTCACCGATGCTTTCTGAATTTCAGTGGGCGTTTGTGAGGAGCACCTAACCTAACTTGGGCGGGTTAACAGAGCAGGAGCTTATCGCATCGCATAGGTAATGCTGGATTGCCACTCTGAACCATACCACACATCCACCTTCCAATGTGATTTGAAAAAGGCGAGCGAGTTCCAAAGTCGGGAACAGTCGGTCGAGCTGGCCAGATACAGGCTGACCGCAATGATGTTCAATTCTGTATTTCTGGAGCTACTGGGGTGCGGTAGAGTAAAGAAGGCTCTTGTTGGCCCTGTTCGCCACGCCTTTGCTGGGCCTCCAAAGGGATGGGCGGGGGATCCGGAAACCGCCCTGCACCTTCGAAAAGGGCTGAAATCAGGGTTTTAGGGCCGGTCAGACCGACAAATCCTGTCGAGCCTGAAGATCCCCTCCGAACCTCGGTGGGCTCGCTGTCGTGGCGAACACCCACATTTCTGGGCCATCAAAGGGATTGGCGGGGGATCCGGAATGCGCATGGCAGTTTCCTGCCCTGCCAGCTAGAAATCCCATCCCTTCCCTCGCCTCTCCCCCGTGCAGACCACTAATTTCGGGGGTTCATCCCCTTCATGAAAAAAATTTGCCCCTGAAGGAAGGGGGGAGGCAGGCGCTAGATCCCCTTCACCCCCTTCCTGATCCCATTGGCGAAATTTCAGTCGAGGGCGAGCCCCCCCGGACGTAATTTGCAGCTTCCTTTGCACCTTCTAGAGCCCTCGCCCATCCCCCGCCCCTTGTCTATAGCGTGGTCGTGGCGAACATGGCCGTTGTGCTGGTAACTGGGCGAGTAGAAAATGAATGACTGCGGAGGAGCGGGGAAAGTGAGGGGGTGGGGTGCAATTCACAATTACGGTGTTCCGTCCATTCCATCTCAACCGTCCGATTCAGCATAGCAGCCCTCCAAACAAGTCCAAGCAGAAACACAACCGCGCCACACGGCGTTGCGATGCGATGCGATGCGAGCCGCGCCGGTCACTTCACGCCCAGCCTCGCAAGTGTGCGCTTAGGTACAAATGAAGGCCATCGCACGCGCCGGTCACTTCACGCCAAGGTGCTGCGATGCAATCACACGCGACGTGCTATAAGTGTGCGACGCGCGATTGGGATCTGATGTGCCAGATTCCAACCCACATGTTCGCACGCGTCGCAAGGAACTCTCGCAAAATCAAATGGCCCTCCCAGGGGTTGGAGTAGAATGCCCAGCCCACCCACTGCCTAGGCTGGGGGGACGATATCGACAGCGAAACGCACAGTGCAACGCACTTGAACTGACGGCTCGAGTCGCTTCCGTGTCAGCAGCAATAGCTGAGTGGAAGGCACATTAAATTATGAATATTTTGCTGGACTTCAAATGAGCACATAAGAAACAAATCATCCGAACTGTTAATAACTACACTAAGTTAGCACAACACACATCCAAGTCCGCGGAAGTGCCCAACGACTATGCACAGATGTGGTGTATGAAACCGTTACGGGTGCAATATATCGAGGTAGCGAGGATTGCACTAGAGTGTTCAAAAAGTACAAGTATGAGCGAAGGCATGAATGAATACTTACAGGCGAAAACATGCAAACGGTAACGCAGTGCGTGCGAGCTAGCCAATGCTACGCCGGCGCGAGGTTTGGGCTAGTCCCGAAACGTAGGCCGACTCGACTGGTCCAGCAGTGTGAGGTTTGGTGAAATAGTGCGTGCGAAGTTGGCGAAGCCCCGATAGCAGCAACGGGCGAACAACGGTTGCTGCTGTACGAGATGTTGACGGTCGCAGTAAGGAATGTCGGGAAAATTCCTTACACTATCCCTCCTCCTTCAAGGAGCCCCCTCCGCTACGCGAGTGCGTCTATATCGCGGAAACCCCGGCTCCTCAGGTACTCTTGCAGGGCAGGGTGGTTTTCGATGTTGGCCAGGGGCACCCAGCTATCCTCACTTGGCGTGCGGTCCTTCTAGCGAACGAGGAACTCGATCCTCTTGACACCTGTGGGGTGTTGAATCCGATGGCTCGGCGGGCTCAATGATCAGCTCCAATGCATGGCGAGTCATGGCTGGCTAACGGTGACGAGGCAGTTGGCTCGTGGTTGGGATTGTCAGAATCCCAACCACTAGACCATTGGGATAAAAGGGCTTGTTAAGTAGCGGGTCAGTGCGCCCATAACCCCCCAGGCCAACGTGCCTGTAACCCTTCCCTAGGATCAATCGGGGATCACTAGTGGACCTCTGACACCCCCCCGCACTGGGATGCCCGAAGTGCATACACCGGGATTCGAACCCGAGACCTTCGCTCTGATACCATGTCAGAATCCCAACCACTAGACCATTGGGATAAAAGGGCTTGTTAAGAAGCGGGTCAGTGCGCCCATAACCCCCCAGGCCAACGTGCCTGTAACCCTTCCCTAGGATCAATCGGGGATCACCAGTGGACCTCTGACAGGGATGTAAGGGCGAAGCAGTTTGTCGTGGAATGTTGGGCTGATGTACCAGTCTGTCGGCAACAGTAGGTGGGCGGTAATTGGGGTGACCATGTGGCTGATTTGGAATGGTCCGTAGTAGCGCAGTCATAATTTCGGCACGACGGGCAGTCTTAGTTTCCGTGTGTCAAGTAGTATGTAATCTCCTGACTGGGCGGCGGTGCAGGGCTGACGTTTCAAATTTGGGTACACTGATGGCTCTAGATTTCTTATTTTTTATTTTACTCTGAGGGTACTTCGGCCAGATTTTGGCCAATCTGATGGCTCAGTCTCCAGGAAACCCTATCCCTGTGGTCACAAGGTTGGCGAGCTATGATCAGAGTCCTGTTTCTACCATTTTTTTTTATTACACATACACTACACTGTCAACAATGCGCGGCCGGGACTTGGAATACACAGGACAACACATCACTAAGAATCCTATCCTACTCTGTCGGCTGATCTATGTGAAACATCTCCTCCCCCTCCTCGTCATCCGAGAGGAACGGGTTATCTTCCTCCTCTGAGTAATCTCGGGGCGGTAACTGCTCAATCTCCTGATCCGTCTCCTGGTTGTCGTCACGATGATCGTCTGACTCCGCGAATGACCCCTCCTCGCCAGCCGGCTCCCTGGGTTCCTCCTCTTCCTCCTCCGGTTCCTTCTCCTTACGCTTGCGATCGTCAGATGGGAACAGAACGCTCTTCGCGGGGCGCCTCTTCTTGAGGCTCTTTCAGGTATCGAGCACCCCAGGCCAGTCCATCTCGTACTGCAGCAGCGAGATCTGCATCAGCTCCGCGAGCCGCGCGTTGTAGAGAGACCCACGGATCCACGACTTGATCACATTCTGGCGCGAGAACCCCCGCTCGCACTCCACAGTAGATAGTGGCAGGACTGCCAGCGCTTGCCACATCAGCAACTGGTTGGGCCAGCGCCTGCCAAAAACAAGGAGCAGCAGTTTTCTCGATGCGTTAGATTTGACACATTCATGTGGCACACGCAGACTAGGTAATCTTACCTCTTGGCGTCGCCGCTCCCCATGAAGTTCGCCAGTCCCTGCGCGAATGACTCTTCCTTGTGGTGAGACTCCATGATTGGGCACCAGGTTGTTAGCTCCCGCGATGCTTTCTTGTGATCAAACCCCGGCAGCTTGTTCTTGAACAGAGCGCTACAGCCAGTCAGCCAGTCCTGGCACTTGCGATCTCGTGCGAGCTTGCTCTTGGGTCACTTATACGCGCGAAACAACTTCGTTGGACCCATCCCCCGCAGGTCGTCCAGGCGAAACAGGAGACGATCGACGACGTCTATTGCGAACTTGCGATACAGCTTCACGCACGCCTTGCAGCCGCTCTTGTACTTATGGTCCTTGAGCTTCCTCTCGTGCAGGATGTACGAGTGGTTCACAGGGCGGCCCTCCGAATCCGCGCCACGCACTCGTACCGTCTGCCCCGACTATTAAACAAAATATATAGCCAACCATACATTGCTGACTCACCTGGCGCTTCTGAAACGAATGGTTGAGATCGTTCAGGTCGCCGAGGATGTCAGCGAGGAAGAAGAGGCAGAACTGGAACTTGTACGATGTCACCGTCTCGTACAATTCGTGCTCCTTCTCGTGGAAGAGAACGATCGCCACGCCCAGCACCTTGCACAGACGCTTCACCGCGTCGCCCCGGGAGAGCCAGCGCACGCTGTGGATGCCCTGGACCTCGAGGTTCGTATTGTAAATGACGCGTTGCAGGTACTTGAAGCGCTGGCTCCAGTGGCATGAGGCGCCAAGGCGTTCAGCAAGAGTGCGCACCACGGTGTCCACCATCGCGAGGTCCGGATTAGCCGTGGCCGCGTCCTTGACCGCCGATGCCTCCCTGTAATTCTGAGAAACCAATTATTAGCATCTGCCGTGATCTTTGTGATAAATGGTAAATAAAGCGAGATGAGGGTGCCATGAATGATTGCATCACCTGTGGGCG